GACAGCATTGTGCTGCGGGGACAGTCACTTTTGCCTTTTTAATGAAAGCTTTGCTGTCCGCCTAATAGCGGTGCTACGGTGCTAATCCTTTTTAAAATCCTATTTCAAGAGTATCTAAACCCAGGAGTAAAAGTGTAATATATTCCAGCTTACCCATCCTTACATATTGTGGCTGCATTAGTTTTCTTTTCTTACCTTTTTTTAACCTGTTGATCTTGCCAATTATTCTGCATTTTTTCAGCTTCCTTTAGCAGGCCAAGCTGTCCCGCATAAGTGGGACAAACCATTTATCACTGACGGGGGTGATTTATTCATTTATGTAAAATCTTTATCCCAAAAGGAAAAAAAAAACTCTGCTAGAGTGTCTAACACCACCCTCCCCACGGGGATGACGGACGGTTCTGCTGTCTATGGGTGGCTTCATTGCTCCTCCATAGAGTAGAGCCACCCTAAGACAGGAAGTGAGTCACTGGCTGGATCATCAGGTGAGAATAAAGGGGGGAAAAAACCTGAAAAATAAACCTAATGCAGCCACCACATCTAAGGACTTATAAATGTATTATGTGTTTGTTTTTGGGTTTAGTTACCCTTTAAGCCTTGCACGTCCTGAGCTGCACTCCCTTCTTGTAGGCACGTTACCATGGCAGCACTGGGAAATTAGAGTGATAAGGGGGCCGCACTGGCGTTCCCGGTAGGAACAGAGTGGGCCATTGAAACGGATTTTGCGTTATTCGGTTTATTGTTCAGCTGCTGACAGAATGCTTTTATTGCAGGATGGAGTAGGAGAAAGATTAAACCTGACCTTGTTCCTCCTGCTTGTTTGGTGATGAGTAGAAGAGCAGCGAGGATAGAGGTCCTCAATGAGATTTCAAAATGTCAAGTTGTTGTTTTGGCACTCGTCAGCGGATGATGAATAAATGCCGTCTCTAGTGGCGGCGTCTCCGTGCGTTGGATATTCGCTGCATACTCAAAAAGGGGACAGCCAGATTCTGCTCGCAGTAAGCTTGACCTCACCTTCCTCTGGAGGCGGCCCGTACAAGAGATGCTAAAATCTTTTTTTGGTTCTCAAATAATTGAAAGTATGCCCCAGTCAAATGTGAAATATTGCATTTAGGGCCCGCAGACAGGTGATCGGCGAGGAGCGGTGGTTGAGGCGGCGATCCGGTGATGACTCAGTCACTTCCTGGTTAGCTGGCAGCGGAAAACTAATGATCACATGACCACTGTTCACTAATGTCTCTAGGGGGAGCTAATGTGTCCTCTGCCATGGACTCCAGGCGCTGCCTTGGGAGGACCTGTATTTACATGGATACAGAGTTCTCTATAGATTTTGGCTGCCATCTTGGACAAAGAGGGGATATATACACTGCCTGGCCAAAAAAAAAAAGTCACCACTTAGATTTTTGGGCAGTGTTATGATCTGGGGTTGCTTCAGTTGATCAGGTCTAGGTTCAGCAACATTGTGCCCAAAAAATGAGGTTAGCTACCTCCCTGAATATACTGAATGATCAGGTTTTTCCATCAATGGATTGTTTCTTCCCTGATGGCACATTTGGGCATATTCCAAGATGGCAATTCCAGGATTCATCTGGCTCAGATTGTGAAAGAGTGGTTCAGGGAGCATGAGACATCATTGTCACGCATACAGGGCCGGATTTCCCACAAGGCCAACCGAGGCCCGGCCTTGGGGCAGCAGGGAGTAAAGGGGCAGCAGGGGTGTGGAATTCCTATCTCCCGACGCCCGGGACATGCAGTTCCCGGGCGCCGGGTGGGTAGTTGTTTTCTACATTTCTCCCTGCTTTGGGCAAGCAGAGCTAAATGTACAGCGGGGAAGCCGCCACTTGTTTTGTACAAGTGATCTCAGCGATGTCGTCGAGATCACTTGTATGCAGCCTGCATACAGGGGGGCGCGTTGAGGAACCTGGCATTGGGGCAGCAGAGAGAGTCTGGCCCTGCACACATGGATTGGCCACCACAGAGTCCAGACCTTAACCCCATTGAGAATCTTTGGGATGTGCTGGAGAAGACTTTACACAGAGGTCCGACTCTCCCATCATCACTACAAGATCTTGGGGAAAAATTCATACAACTTAGGACGGAAATAAATGTTGTGACATTACATAAGCTTATTGAAACAATGCCACGGCGAATGTGTGCCGTAATCAAAGCTAAAGGCCATCCAATGAAAAATTAGAGTGTGGAACTTTTTTTGCGGCCAGGCAGTGTATGTCCTTCTGACTAAATGAATGGCACCGCACTGGGCATAGTGCTGCTGTTACCATGCATTGTGTTACTATAGGTATGAATCCAGCCTGAAACTGAATAAATGAACGTTGGACCACTGGACACTGGACCGCCTTCACCTCCAGTGCAATATAGTAGTATTTTAATTCTCCGTCCTACAACTGTGATCTTCCACTGCAAGCCCTGTAAAAACTTGGAGCTAACATGTATTGGCCAAACATAAGGGACCTTTTGCTGGGCTCTGATATATGGGATGTGGCTATCTGTACAAGTACCTTTTTTCTGCGATACACGGCGCACGGCTGTTTTAGCCAGCGGGAAACCGCGTGATCCGCCCTGCACGACTGGGGTGCCATTGGAAAATAATGGTACCCACAGCGCCATCAGTGCACACCTGGGCGACTCCTGACCGCGCAACAATCGTGGGGTGTCGCCAAGGTGTGCCTACAGCCCTAAGGGCCCGTGCACACCTAGGTGATTTATCGCGCAAAACACAGATTGGAATTGAAGTCAATGGAGGCTGCTCACACCTTTGCGGCTTGTCGCACGACCGAAATCGCCTGTCGCGCGAAAAGGTGCAGGAGCTATTTTCGGGCGGTTGTCGCGCGGTTTGGGGCCCATAGACATCTCTATGCATTGAAAAGCGCGGTTTATAATGAACAGTCGCATGATCTCAACCACGCGAACACAGCTCGTCATCTGAATCGCCTAGGTGTGAACCACGCTTATGAACCGAGATGCATTGTGGGAACACACAGCTTAGCATATTGTGGTGCATTCATTTCAAACAGCACCCCAATTCATTAAAGCAACACAGCTCCGATGCACATTAATATTACATTTCTGTTCTTGGGTTTGGATATGCGATACAAGTAAAGGTTCATGTGGCAGTCAGATGGTGTTTGAAGTGTAGAACACCTGGAAGTTACGGTGGACTCCAACATAGACTGTATGAATGATGTATATTATATTTCTGTTCTTGGGTTTGGATATGCGATACAAGTAAAGGTTCATGTGGTGGTCAGATGATGCTTGAAGTATCCAACACCCGGTGGACTCCACCATAGACTGCCTGGCTTGTGCATGCCTTCAACCACAGTAGTATGAGAACTCTCGAGGTGCCGTTCCTTGACTCTGCTTGTGTAATTCTCAGAACATTGTGTCCCAGCTAAAGATGCTTTTTCTCCTTTTCCCCATTTGTAGTGAAGCTGACATCACCAGGTAAGCATTGCTTGAAACAGGCAAACAGTCTCTCTGGGTGATTGTTGGTCCCTCAGTGCTTCGTGGTCTGGGATATGTGATTTGAAGTTTACAGCTTTGTCCTGCTTTCAGTTTAAAGGGAACTTTTCATGGAAGAACTACCTATGCTGCCATTCCTCGCATCTTCTGAAAATGCTAGACTCCTGGTTGTCGTGTTGATATTTCAGCTTCACATTTAAAGCAAACCTTCTGCTATGGTAACACAAAACACAAGCCGCCTGTACTTACCTTGCTGGAGGGTGGTGAGCGGAATCTACACTCTCTTGGAGAACTATGGGTGTGCTAGTATCTGACATTTCCATGTTGGATAGTTGGGCCTCTGCTGGGCACTGTAGATCTTCCCACCAGCCATTAATTCACTACTGTATTTTGTAGTGGCATAGGGAGTGGTGGATGGAACCACAGAGCGTTGTGAGGGGTGCAGGCATCTGGAAGTGTTGGATCAGAGATGAGTCTGGGCTTGGTGCAAACTCAGTTTGCCTGACTTCCCCCATGCCTGCTCAAAACTGAGAACACCTTCTCCTCCTCCCGATGCAATCAGTGGCGGCAGTTGTGGCAAGCCCATCCGCTTTGTAGCGCGTTAGGGACGGGCGGAAATACGCCAAGGTGGGAGCGAGACCATTGAATACAATGGGATTTATATTTTTGAGCGTTTTGTAGAGCGTTCGTCGAGCGTAGAACGCGCTACAAAACGTTCAGGTGTGAACGAAGGCTTAGGGTTGCCACCTGTCCAGAATTCACCCGGACAGTCCGGGTTTTGAATGCTGTGTCTGGGTTTCATGGCAGCAGAAACCCGGACACAAGATGCCAGGCAGACAGGGGCAACCAAAATTAACATAGGGGATACTGGCCCCCCACTAAAAATAGTCTCAACTGTGATATTTACATATGAATGGGCGGCGCTATTTGCATATGAATAAGCCGCGACTCCTTCTCCCAAGAAAAAATGTCCACGCGTCGCTAGAGTGTTCGGGTTTCGCTTGAAGAAAAGGTGGCAACCCTACATTCACTGCCCCTTTGTGACTGGTAGCCACGGGCCAGGGAATACACCTTTCTGTAAGGGATTGGGTCAGGAGGAAGGGGTGACAGTCACAGTTTTGAGTGGGCTTGGGCAAACCTAGGAGCACCAGTAGGTCTTCAAGAGAGTAAAGAGTTGGCACACTAACCGTTTGGAGAAAAGGTATTAAATCTCTTCTTTTACAGGCTGCTGCTGTACCGTGGCGTGGACCCTGGGGCTGGAGAAACAGTCCGCAGGAGCCTGGCCATTGTGCCCGCTATCCAGTGATCACAGTTACAATGATTTGCAGGCTCCAATGCAAACATTTAAAAGGTGGACTATGTCTTTAAGTCCATTTAAATAATAAATCAGCCCGCAGTCAGTATTTGCGTGCTGCTGAAGCCCCTAAGGTGTGTTCATGTTATAATATATACAATGTGATACAACCATGCATATCTCCAACTGACTTTCTTATAGAGATCTGTCTTTGTATTTCTAGGAAAAATTCGAAGCCCTTTTCCGAATGTACGATGATTGCGTCACCTTACAGCTATTCAAGAGCTTCAGACGAGTTCGGATAAACTTCAGTAACCCCAAGGCAGCAGCACAAGCAAGGATAGAGCTCCACGAAACACAGTTCAGAGGGAAGAAACTAAAGCTATATTTTGCACAGGTGCGGATTTTTTTTTTTTAATCCCATTTTCTAGAAGCCGTTGTAAATGACATTCATAAATACATACATGTGTACCATGATTAACCTCTTGCCGTACGCCTGTAGTAAAAAAACGGACGGACGGCACTGCTGCATTGGCGGGTTGCCGCCGCCAGACGGCATTTTTTTTCTGCTCGCGCGCGCCCCCTAGCGGGCACGCACGGGCAGAAAAGACCCGACCATTGCACACACCCGTTACCGGGTGTTTCACATATAGGCGATCAGCGGCTCCATAGCCCGCCGATCGTCTATATGTGCTCGTTCGCGTCCGATTCTGGTTTCTTAATATAGTAAAAAAATAAAAACCCCAGTGGTGAATAAATACCACCAAAAGAAAGCTCTATCTGTCCCCAAAAAAGGGTATAAAATTCGGGGGTGTAACACCACGGATGTCAACTGGTTAATGAAGAGCTCTAGAGGTAAAGTTAGGCCCAGCCCTTCCCATTGCTAAGCCCCTTTCCATCATTTAACTACTAAATACTAGAGCTTTACAAGGCAGTAGACTCTCTGACATTGAGCAGTTGAATGCAAGTGGGAGTAGGGAAGAACTTGAACACAAGTCAGGTAGAAGTTGAGGCCCCAGGTATAGCCTCCTTCACACCTATGCAGTGCAAAATGCGTTTTTTTTTGCATGGTAGTTTGTGTATTGTCACGCCACTCATTTAGAATGGCACCAAAAACACAACTACAGTAACTGGAAGTACACCCACGCATTTTTGAGTAGTTGCATATTTCAAATGAATGGTTCCCCCTCCTCACCTCCATAACCCCTCCTCATCCTCTCATCTCCTCCCCCTCCTCACCTCCATAACCCATCCTCATCTCCTCCTCACTCCTCACCTCCATAACCCATCCTCAGCTCCACCTCACGTCTCATCTCCTCACCTCTGGAACCCTTCCTTGTACACGTAGTGCTCACCCCCGATGGAGTCGCTGGGGTCATCACTAGTCTGTCTAGGGGTATGATCTTCAGCTGCCCCGCTAGCATTCAACCGCCCTCTTCTAGTGCCCACAAAGCTGATATCCAGTCCAGTAATGCAATGCTGAATAGCGTTTATTAAACATCTTCACACTGGGGAGAGAGGGTATAGAGATCCTAGACATCTAGGGTGGTACAGACATAGACTCCAGACTCACCAGACCGTTGTTAGCATCTCTGTAGATCCACTTGGAGTACAGCAAATAGCAATTGGAGTAACAGATGAGCAGGAGAAGAGTACAGATCATCAGCAGGAGAGACACCAGCCATGCTCCTGAGGTCCTCTATGTTCTTGGCACCTCCAGCAGACATCAGCTTCCCTGGTTCTCCTCCTCTGATAACAGCACAGGCCTCCTCCATACTTGAAGCCTAGGCTAACTCTTCCCAAACTCCAGCCTCTGCCCACCCCCAGGCCTCAGGCCTGGCCTGGGGGCAGCTGGACAGCACCCAGTCCTAATCCATGGCTGGTCCTGACTAGTCTGAGCACATGGCAATTCCCACCAGTATATGTACCCTATCCCAGCATGCACTACTGGTTGAGAGAAACCCAGTGATTGGCTGCTGCACTGTACATACCTCACAGAAGGTGATGGGGGCTACATACACATACAGAGAGAACAGAAAGTAGGAGCTCACAAGATTTCTGGCAAAATCAACAGGCATTTTTTTGCACTTTTCGTTAAGATGTAAGAAAACACTTCCAGTAGTATATTCAGCAGGCCAATATGCAGCAAATAAGAGAAGTTCATTGTTGGGGTTTACCTTTAATATCAATGATTTCATTTCCCATATACAGGTCCAAAAAGCAGAGACAGACGGAGACAAATTACACCTGGCTCCCCCACAGCCATCCAAACAGTTCCTCATCTCACCTCCTGTGTCGCCCCCCGTTGGCTGGCAGCCCATAGATGACGCCACCCCAGTAATCAATTACGACCTTCTCTATGCAGTGGCCAAGCTTGGTCCAGGTAAGAACCTTTATACACCTGAGAATTTGTCTATGACATACAGGTCGGTGACCTATTAGGCTGATAATACAGCCTCTGGGGGGCTTGTTGACTCACAGGATCTTAGACTACTGGAGTGGAGGGAGAAAGAGGCTTCAGGCTAACAGCTGGCCGGCTCCGAGGTTCGGGTGAGCATAACTTTTTATTTTCATCCCTAGGTGAAAACGAGCACTTAACCCTTGCAGTGCGGGAGTAGCCCCACTGAAAGGGAGAAGAATAATTCTGCCCGGAGTTCTTCTTTAACCCTAAAGATGACCCTAAGACTCTCGTTCTTTAAGGCTATAATTACTTGTAAGTAATTATACTAAAAATCTAAAGAGTTACAACCCTGGTTCCTGCAGCATCCTGACCTGGGCCCAAACTCCAAGGTTGTAAGCACCTTGCATACCCATTCACAATGTGCCACGTTCTGGCTATACATAAGAGAAGAAGCTTTGAATCTTTGTCAGCCACCCCTGTTCTACTCTTATTGCGCTCCTATTAGCAATACAATAATACACTAGAAGTACATGGTAAATTTGGTTGTATTTAATAACTCCAACAGTGCCTTTAAAACTCAACTCCAGGGAAATGACACATTTTCCCTTGCAGTGGTGCTGCCCCTGCAATGCAAGGGTTACCTGTTCGTTTATGCCTTCGGGACAGTAAAAAAATGTTTTGCTTGATGCCCGCTCACCCGGCAATCAGCGCTCTCGTCTTCTTCCCCTCTGCTCAGCTGTGGACTGTGCCTTGGCATTGTCAGGTAAAATGCAGCAGGGCTATGGAGCCTTCATTGTTCTTGATGACGTCAGCGGGCCCTAGATGCTGGCGAGTAGAGAAGATGAGGCTGCGGGGACCAGTCTACCAGCACAGCAGGAGTGGGGGTTCAGGTCAATTTCTTTCTAACATTTGCTTTTGGAATAAATTGAGTTTCCAGACAGAGGTGTCCCGAGGCCGGGTTTTTCACCGAGCAGATACCGGATGACACCCCGCCGTGATGTCATCGCGCATGTGTGGTCATCTTTTTGATACTAGCCGGCGGCCATCTTGGTGATGGATGCCGGCAGAGAGAGGAGGGGATAAGGTAAGCCGCCGGGTCCTCTCCTCTCTCTCTCTCCTGCAGCTGTTGGGCTCTTGGTCCATGACCAAGTGCCTGACTTTTCAGAGGGGGTGACACCAAAATGACTGTCAGTCATTTTGGTGTCACCCCTCCAATGGTGTCACCCGGATGCAGGCCGCACCCCTCTGTGACGCCACGGTTTCCAGAATGAAAACCACAATCGCTGTTAGAATATCATTCGTTTGAGAAAAACTTTCCATCCCGCTCCTTCAATTCTTTCCATCTCTACAGCCAAAAACAATTGTCCATCTGATCCTATTAACTGTTAGAAAATCGAACGAACACTCCAAAAACGTCAGTTTTACAACCATGTATACCCACCTTTAGGCTGACTGACTTTGGGAGGTGTACGCGTTGTTCCCTATGTTTTCCCGAGCTAGTTGTGATGAATAATCTGAGATTGGTTTTGCCATGTGGGTTTTTGCAGTCCCTTGATATCATGCCTTGCGGATTAAAGAGGAACATAATTAATTTGCAGTTTAATATCCGTGATCATTGCTCATGAACCTAAGCCTCTGGGCTCTACGTGCAAGGTTCCTCGCTCATTTTCAGTTAAATAACGTATTCTATGAGTCAGAATAACGTCAGGAACAGCAAGGGCCACAGTGACCTGGCACTGTGTGCATCATATCTGTGCTCAGACACCTGTAGAGATTCATGTACAGTAACAGAAGCTGGAGACATCCTGCGGCCCTTCAGCAGAGGAAGGCTATGGGTTCTAGCATGCCCTGTCATCTCCTATAATAGGAGCTTGTTCCTTATGTGTCTATGAAGGTTTCTCTTTATTCAGGTCATGGCATAGCTAGTAGTAGTTGGTCACATCCAACTTGACTTATTCTGTAATGCTGAAGATGTTTTATGGCTCATCCAAGTGGCTTCCTCACTTCTAATAAATACTGTATATCGGGAACATACCCCAGCATTTGTAGTCAATGGGTACCTCAGTCACTTTAATCCAATCACCATGGAATGACATTATGTGTGGGTGCCAGGTGGTGTCAAAGGACAGATGGTTCTCATCTATGTCATACTGGAACAACCATCTCTAAACAGGGTTGGGGCTTTCAGTGGGCTATGTTTCGGTTTAATAAAGTTGGAGGCGATCTGTTGTACATGTAAGACTTCCTGTTTGGCTACAGGGTTGGGGTCTCCAACACATCTCTCACCCACATATAATACCGTTTTAACAACTGTTCTCGGGTGACCTGACTACAATGCTTACCGTCAGACATGTAACCTGACAATTAACACATGCCCCAGACCTTATGGCACCTTGTTATACGTTAGTAAGGACAAGGTGGTTCCACAAAACCTCACACCTTCACAACTCCCATTCTTGGACAATCAACATCTGAATACATTCTATGATGACTGGGTTAAGCTGAATGAGTCACCCCTTTGAAAATAAATGCTGGTGTATGTTCCTGACACTGAAGAAGCGGTTTGAATAAGCTGTAAAACCTCTTCAACTTTAAAGAACAGTTCAGTAAATGTATGTGACCAACTACTACTAGCTGTTCCTTATATCATTACCCTAACTTAGTCATTCTACCCTTTGATCAGTTGTCCAGCTCTAGTATGACTTTGGCTACTTGACATGCTGCCAAAGCCAGGCCGCTGCAGGGTATAGTGATACCTAGGTACATGGTGGCTCTTATATCTATTAGCTTACTTCCATCCAGAGTCTCAAATCCAGAAGATCATATTTGCTGATCATGGGGGTACTGAGGTTTATTTCCAGAAAACAAACCTTTATTTAATCATTCATTTATATAACCTTTAGGGCTTGAAGGGTATCACAGAGACTCTGTCAATTTGCACATTTAGAAAGTCTATTAGGCCCACCGCCAAACTCACTAATGCCTTCATCACTTTTCCTCAACACTCTGTTCCTTCTTTTGTCCTAGCCCCATGTAAGCTTCATGTCAGATAGAAATGGAGCTTACACAGGGTTGATGAGGTGTGATCATCTTAACAGGTCAGTGTTGGAGCCTGCCAGGCCCAAGCATTACATCATGGGAGAAGGTCATCATATGCTCCCTCATAGCTAGAAGCACTGAGGCTGGTGGGCAATGCATGCACACCTGACCCCCTTCAGAAGTCTATAAGCACCTACCCTGTGTGTATATCTATATA